CTTTCTTTTGAATCAATATTGGTTGCAAGGAAAGTTACTGGATTTGGGATCAGCGGGTGGCAGATCGTTACATTTTGCTAAGACTCTGGGAGATTCTATGCCAGATGACAGAACTTGCAAAAATTACAAAGATTTGAGAAACAGTGTAAACAAATTTCCTCAAAAGATTCCATACAATTTGTCATGGATTGAATATGGAATATAAAAAACATTATAGTTTTTAGCTAGCTAGTTAATCAGTGCTAAGAGATCCATGACAAATAAAATATGACCAATTCACATTTGGTCATTTCCAAAATAATCCTGTAATTCATTATAAAACTGACTCATACCCTACTTTTAGTGCACTATGCCATCCACCCCCCCTCCAGTCTCCCTGCGCTCATGCTGGGCGCTCCACCCCAGGCCTTTCTGTGCTCATGCCCACCACACCAACTACTCCCTGGCCTTCCTGTGGCTGTGACACAGCATGCCCCTCCCCCAGCTTCCCCCAGCTTGTGCACAGCCTGCACTGGGCCTACCCTGGCTTGCCTCTCCACTCCTTACCTGGGACTTACCTGGGACTCCTACTGCTTCCCATTTAAAGATCTGTGCAACTTGGGGTTATGACATCAACCAGAACTGCCTGGATTGTTGTCACTAAGTGATGCAGTTTCGTGACATCGCACTTTACAACTGCATCACTTACTGACAGCAGTCCCAGTCCCCAAGGACTACTTGTAAAGAGCTTGTGATTCTGTTTAGTCTGTGCATCAAAATTGAGAAACATAAAGCGAGCATTGTACTTAGGCATTACGGAAAAGTCTCTAGCTGCAGGTAGTCCTCTACCACACTTGGGACCAGCAACTCCATTGCTAAGCAACACAGTTGTTAAGGGAGACATCATGTGACCACAACAGACTTACAACCTTACTTCCACTATGGTCGTTAAACAAGACATCACATGACTGCAACTTAGGATTTTACCGCTGGCTTCTCCATTGACTCTGTCGGAGTCCTGCTGTGAAGTGTACAAATGGCAATCACGGAACACTGCAACAGTTGTAAATGCCTGCCAGTTGCTAAGCGCCCGAATCTTAATCACATGTCCACAGGGACTCTGCAATGGTCGTAAGTGCAAGGGCCTATTGTAGAGTTACTTTTTCAGCACTCTTGTAACTTTGAACTGTCACTAAACAGGGCAGTTGTTAAGCAAGGACTACCTGTATTGTCAAAGAAGTGTATTTTTGCTATTAATTGTTGATGTTGAAGTTAATCCATGGAAAGTTCTTACCCACAAAGCAACTTGCTTTGATTTTCTTTTTCTCAGTTCAGCAGAAAAATTCTTAGAAAATAAGATAGGTGCTTTTTTGAAAATGTGCTCACCTGCCTATAAAAAATCCAAAGGTTAGCTGGGTGGGGGGAAAACATTCCCAGTTTGTTTCCTGATGTACGAAACAAAGCGTAACAAACTTTTTCTGGGTTGATCAGCAGTAAAACTTTATTTCAA